AGCATCTAGATGAGACCAGCTCTTATCCAATCATCCCACCGTCCTATATGTAGACAACTTAAAGATAACACAGAAGGTGTCCAAAGTGAGTTAAAGCCAACCCTCCTCTTTAGAGGCCAGACATAATTCACTCCACACACATTCACAAAGGCACAGGCGTACAAACACACGGTGACTTCAGGCAACCAAGCCCGAGAATTACAACAGGAGGATATTTCTTTATTTCAAAATTATTCAGTTGATTCTTGACCTTTCCTGGATCATTTTTGGAAAACTGAAGTTCCTTGAGGACAAACACTGTGTTTTCAACTTCCTTTCTCTCCTCCACAGCACCATATCATTTGGGACAGAATGGGAACCCAGAATATGTTAACTGGCTATACATAAGGGAATCGGTACATAACTCAATTATTAGAAGTTTGTTAATTAGCAGATGAACAGGCCCATTTCAAACATATCTGTGCTGGTGTCTGGTGCCAGTGAACTGGCAAGGAGTGACCATACAGGTGGTAAAATGAGGCAAAAAAGCAGCAAGCAAGCGATGCCAAAGTTCCACAGCAGCTCCCCAAGTGCTCCACGGCTCAGAGGAGAGGACCTGATGGGCAGGAGTGGGCAGGAAAGGCTCCCTATGGGACACGTGGTGCCACCTGCCTCTTAAGGAGCAGTAGTAAGACCTGTGAAAGGAGAAGCATTGAGGAAAACAATATGGCAGGCAGTAAGTTCTCCTGCCAGACTGGAGCACAATGGCAGATGAGTTCTGAACTGTTTACTGGTGAGGCCTGTGGACTCCAAATCAGTAAAAATCAGCACCTTGGAAGACAGCAGAGGTTAAGAGAAAGCAAGAAAATACAGAGCAGACAAGTGTGGAAGCTGTAGCATGTGATGGGTTTGTAACCGCATGGGTACATGATGGGTGACTGACACCATGAAGACAGGCTCCATCTCCCCTTCATCTTGGTCACCACCAGACTCCCAGTGCCTAGAAGCGTGCCTGGCTCAGAGTAAGTGCCCAACCATTTTCTGTCAAATGAATGAATCTTGGAATACTGTTTGTAAGGCTCAGTGTGAAAACAAATCCATACAAGGCCAGGCAGAACCAAATCTTGAAGATGCAGTTAGTGCTGTGTTTACCTAAGTGAGTGAATGGGACATCAGTGGTGTTTGCCATTTTGCCATTAGAGGAAAGGTGAATGAACTCAAGGACTGTCCTCTTCCCTCCAGAAGCACAAGAAGGTAAGTGTCCTTTCTGACCAAATCTGCAACACATCCAAGCCCAGAAGTATGCGATCTGAGGGCTCATCCCTAAGCTTGTGTGACGTCCAACTTCATAGGTCATGAAGACACTCGGCCCTTTCCCAACAAGCTGGTCATTTTGTTGTTTCATCTGCGTGGCCTGAGAATTGGGTACATGTAGTGGAGCTTGCCATGAGTAATGGACTCAATCCCTTATTCAGCCTCAACTAAAGGCAGAAGAAAAATCTCTACCGAAGTTAACAGGACCCATTCAAGGGAAGGGAATGCTGCAGCCAAGGAGTGAGTTGAGCCATCACTTAGAGGGAGGTACAGAGGACGCCATGTGTCTTATCCTAAAATGAGGGACCACCTTGTGGTCTCTACCACCATCCCTGTGGCTCGTGTCTCATCCACACACGTCCTGGCAAGCACAGTTGTGACTGTGACATTTCAGGGCTTTCTGCAAAGGGCTGCTTTCCTCTCATGCTCCTCCCTTCCACCTTGACCTTTTGCTTCTGACAAACAGAAAATCAGAAAGAGCTTTTCCTCTGTATGCACCTCCCTTTCTTTGTGCCATGTCTTCAGCCCTTTGGGAAGGAATCAAGAGCCACTGTGTCTTCCAGGCTGCGGGCTCCATGGCTGCACTTTGTTGTCCTTCTAGGAATAGAAAACCCATCAGAACTTCTCACCACAGACTTGTAATGTCTGCAAGAATATCACTGACTTATTCTTCCTCCTCACACCCACATGCTGCCCAGTATGTTAAAAAGGTCTGTGTGTGTGTGTGTGTGTGTGTGTGTGTGTGTGTGTGCGCGCACTTTCTTTTTTTATTTGCTTGTCTATTGGACAGGTCTCCCCTGCTCCCATCTCCCCAGGGAGATGAGCTGAGAATGAAAGTGGAGGATTTCCTAGGGCACTTCACAGGCCACGTGTTCCCTGGCACAGAAAAAGCAACAGCTTCCTTCCCCTTGAGAAATCCAGCCTGTAATCCCACCACTGGGAGGCTGAGGCAGGAGGGTCATCTTGAGTCCAAGTGAGACCCTGTCTGAGAGAAAGGAAGAGAGAAACAGACAGACACACAGAGAGACAGACTGACAGAGATAGACAGAGAGAGACGTAGAAAGATGGAAAGAGAAATTCAGTCCTTTCTTCCTCTTTTCTTTTCTTTCTTTGTCTTCCTTTCTTTCCCCCTTTTTTCTCCTTCCTTCCTTCCTTCCTTCCTTCCTCCATCCTACCTTCCTTTTTTCAGCAATACTGGGGATTGAACCCAGGGCCTTCACATTGAGCTCTCCAGGCATCCCCAGGAAGCCAGCTTTCCTGAAGGTGTGCGTGTGCATTCTCTCTTTGGAGATTATCATTCTTCTTGATATTCTTGTCCCTGGGCATGAAGATCAGCAAGGATTGGCGACTTGGTGCTGAGGAGCTGCACAGAATACAGATGTGTCCAACAGGAAAGCCCCAGCCGGAACCCAGCCAGGATTCTTGTGGCCAACCCAGGGCCCTCTTGGAAGAGCTCCATGACCAAGCCGAGAGGACTCCGCTCACCCAAGTCAAAGGCAGTGGATCCAGGAAATCCTTCCCTCACAGCTGTCAGTGCTTCTTGCTTTTGGGGCACAAAGAACATGGACCTTGGAGTGCTGGGTCTTGGGTTTGAGTCCCATTTTTGTCACTATTCAGTGAACCTGGTCTCTACTTGCTCACCTGCAGGACTGAGAGGGGGCTGTAAGAATCTGGTGGCTCTACCCTGCAGAGAACCCACCCTTGATTCCATCACCAGGACATAGAGATTTGTACAGGCTCGTGAGCCCAAAAGGTGGAGCCATCTCCCAGGGAGGGGCTCAAGCCCATCCCATTCCTAGCAGCTCTGTGGTCTGACAGCAGACGCCTCTCCTCACACCATTCCCAAGATGTTCCTGACTGCAGCGGAGGCTCAGAGAGGCCCTGGCAGTGGAAAGTGAAGTCCTCTCCAACCCCGCTCCCACAGAAGAGAAGCTCCTGAGCCCCGTGAGCCCCAGGCTGCAAGCCTCGGGCTCCTACACGCCCTCTCTCCATCCTCTGGATCAGTCAGTGGTTCTGACATTAGAGCAGGCATCAGAGGTACCCGGAGGCCCTGTGAAAAGACAGGTTCCTGGGCCCCTTCTGAGTTCCGGGGTGTGAGAGTGGACCTTCCACTCGGGTGTGTGGGGGACCTGGTGTTACTGGTGGGAGGACATACCTCGAGGATCATTCTCCAGCCTGAGAGAAAGCAGGTTGTGAGCATCTCATGTGGTTGTGGATTTTAATACATAAGCAATTGCCAACATAAATTCTGGAAGGGATGCCATTTGTGTAACTTATTTATTCTTTTGCAAATGAGTTGGTGGGGATGGAGGTATTGCGTACATTTCCCACAATCAGGTGATAAAGACAGCAGATGGGGCAGATGCTCCTGCCTGGCCCAGTTCAGGAAACCAAGTCACTTTATCACCAGCACCAGCCGAGGTTCTCACCCTGCAGAGTTATCCTTGGCAGTGCCCACGGCGCGTAGTCATGGAATTTGAAGCTGCCGTGCCCAGGCCCTGTGGAGGGACTCGGCTGGGATCTAAGGACCAGGAAGCCTTATCCACAGAGCCCGTGTGTGCATTGGCAGCACATCACACCCAGGAGCCCCTCGGCTCCAGCTCCCAGCGCCGGGTCAGACCTCCACAGGGTGTTCCCTCCCGTTCGGCTGGCATGGCCTGCCTGTTGGCGATGCTTTATCTGCAATTCCTACCCAGCAAGATAAGGTCTTGCCAAGCCACATGCTCTGGATTCTCCTCTCCCGGGTGGGACCTTGGGGTTATCTCATGAACAGCCTGTGTGTGCACAGATGGGAAGCTGCAAACCAGAAATGGCGGGGCTGAGTGGGACCCAGGCCACCCTGGCCCAGAGGGGAGCCTGGACACCACTTCAGGGCACCAGGCAGGAAAGGAGCCTGGCACACTGGTCAGGGCGAAGCCAAGGGAGACGCAGTGCATTGTGGGAGAATTAGTGGTAATCAGGAACTGTGGGACTCTTCCCCACTACTTCCTTCCCCTTTGGTTTCTTTTTCCGGCAGTTCCAGCCCATCTCATCCCTGGTTATGAGGAGAATCTTCATCACAGACCATGGAAAGGTCACCTTATGTTAGGAATGGCGTTCTTTTCAAGATAATCTCAGAGTCTATTTTCCCAGGAATCTCTGTTGATTCACTCTGGTATGTTACTGCTGCCAGGAGGGGAGGCCGCAGGGAGGTTTGTGGAACCAGAAAAGGAGCTTGCTCCAGTGGCCCTGGGCCACGTGCCAGGCTGAAAAGGTAACACAAAGCTGCCCTGGTTGCTCAGGATCAAGCCTGGAGAGACTAGAAAATCCCAGGGATGCATGCAAGTCACTCTTTTGGGTTTGTTTTATTTTGTTCCTTCTACCCCTAAGACCTTGGTGCAAGAGAAGCTGGGGACAGTGATGCATTCCTGTAATCTCAGATACTCAGGAGGCTGAGGCTGGAGGCCAGGACAACCCTAGCCTGGGCAACTTAGCAAGGGCCTGTGTCAAAATACAAAATAAATAAAAGGAGCTGGAGATGCGGCTCAGTAGTAGGGCATCCTTGGGTTCAATCCTCTATACCACCGAAGCAAACAAACTAATGAAAATGAGAGAGAGAGAG